CACGCTGATGATCATTTTTTTTAACTTCAATGTCAATATAAACAACGCAACAGGCGAAATAAACATCAAGATTATTGCCGTTTAACTCCATTTAAAAAATCTTTCGACAAATTCAAATGTAGCTCCCCAGCTTTACCGTATACAAATACGCCCTGCTTTGAATTATGGGAACCAACATATTACCAAATGGCTCCGCCTATAGCCGACTGGTTCTCATCTTCAAAGCGCAGTGCATTTGCATACGGCAAAAAGTTACAATTTCCCTCCAAATGCTTCCTTATTCTTTAAATAATACACTGCTTAGCATAAAAGCATGATTACTTTCTATATTTACATTTACCTTTAAAGTGGAAGGCCTCCAACTTTACGAGTGAACAGTTTCAAAAAGTCAAACTTAGTAAACAATTGTAACATTCAGCATTTCAGAAAAGTATAAATTTTCACAATCCAGGAAATAGGTGCACATACACTGTGCCAAAACGTGACCAATAATCTTATGTTTTTATCGCCATATCTGTTACCTGTTACCCAACAAGGATTATTTTTGAATATTGTTGCCCGTCTTTATGTAATTTCAATTACAATCTGTAGTACTTTTTGCTAGCTTTAAAGAAATACTATGCTCATCCTTGAGTAAAATATTTTTATCACAAAAATTTATTGAAATCTTCATAATTCTTACTGACTATGTCTAAATTTGAATTAAAAGAATAAATAAACTATGTAGGGAAAACTGCGTCCCTATTAAAGATCAAGTAAACTCGGTCTTTTCTTTAAAAAAAAAAAACCTGCCAGTTTTTTTAAATGACATCACATTCATATTGTGACCACCTACAGTGTGCAGAGTTTAAAAACAACATATCTACTTTGTGTGAAGTCAAAACACGTTTATTTTATATCTACAGAGAGACTCACTCAGTGAAGCAATTAACAATATTTTCTAATATCAAATTTGAGCATAGTATATCTTTAATTACTAAATACTGTTTGAATTATCCATGAAAAATTATCATGAATCTGCTTTAATGAACACATGGCTTATAAATAAATATAATTATTATAACAATTTTTTTATTTCTTGACCACATAATTGCAAAAACCCTCCTGTACAAACACTAGATAACGTATAGGAAAATTAAGCATATAAAACATAAAAACAACAACAATAATATCAACAAAAGACACCAACTTCTTCAATAATTCAACATAATTATATTAATATACATTTCCTCACTAAAAAGCAAAAAGCATAACCTAATTTCTCATCTTTAAAAAACTACTTTTAGTACAATGTAAAATATCCTAAAATTTTTGTTATAGTAATCTTATATGGCAACACACTTTTTCCCTTTAAATGCTTTAAAATATGACTCAAAAGCATTAAAATGGAATGCATAGACTGAATTCATAACCACTAAGATTTCTTAAAATGTTGTGAACAACTTAAAACAATACATGTATGTTAGACTCCCCCCCCCCCCACCGCCCAAAAGGTACTTTTGTGACCTAGACACAGTCTAAACTGCTTGTACAGAACCAGGCCAGAGTTTGATGTACTCCTTTTTATCTGCAGAGAGCATCTGAAAAGTTCTCTCGTGGCTAGGAATTCTAGAAATTTTGCTTAGGCAAACAAAACACCCCCCCCCAACAACAAACAAAGAATTGAAAAAAAACAACAACAAATAAGCAGTTGGTTTTTGAACTTGCATCAAAACTCCAGACCCACTTTGAACTACCCTAGTTGTCTTCCCTGTCCCTAAACTTTTAAGTTATAAATTAAATTTATGATAATAACAAGTAATGAAAAACTGCATGGTCTGGCAACAATAAACATGGTTTCCACCACATAAGATGATTACTTAATTATGTCACAGGGTGAGAAAAATGTGCAGCCTGACCGGGACCCCTGGGAATATCATTCAGTGGCTCTACCGACTGAGTTTTCGGGCCGCTTACACATCTTTTCTCACCTAAATAGTGAACAGTTCTGAACCGTGATAATTACATATGTATCATCCTGTAACATTTTGTTGAAATGGAAATATATGTAAATAAACAATGCAAATCTTAACTTCAACAACTGAAATTTAAAATAATATGATATGGAAATATAAACAACTGACATTTCTCAACATGGAATGAGGAAAAAATTTACAGAAAAACATAATTATATACAGGAAAAAACAAACTACGTTAAAACAATACAAATTCTATTTAAATAATATGAACAAAATATAAAATATAGTGCCAATTATTACGAGATCTTGTAACACAAGCTGATTTTAAAAAGTATAAATAATCTATATCGTAAATTAAATTCTACAGGTTATATATTAATTAAGGTAGTCTTACTGCTATGCTAATTTTCATGCCAAAAAAATTTCTTACATTGGCCAATATCTTAATAAATCGGTCATTTCCGGAACGCTATTTTTCACAATCTTTGGTATTCAATAATTTTTAACTGTTTGTAGCCAGAATTTTGTACTTCCAGATAAAGGATGAGTGATAGTAAATAATCTAATGCCAAAGATTTTGAAAAAATAACAATCCGGAAATAACCCATTATGATTTGCTACGATATTGGTCGATGTTAGAATTTTTTGGCGGGAAAGCATTACAGTAAGACTATTCTTAAGACAGAGTTACTGTGGCACTTGACCTAATAATATATGATAAATTTTACTAAATAATTAATAGTCATTAAATAGCTACTTAAAACATTCAATGAGGAATTAAAATGTTTTGTTTTGTAAAATATAAAAAACATCGACACATCATCTGGTCATCAACACAATAGGGTTAGGGTAGACAGCAATTGTAGGCAGCATAATATGGTATGTACATTACATGGAGCCTATGTGCCTTGTACATATTTTGAGTTTTTGTTTTTGTTTTTTATGTCTGATGCTAAATACTTTCAACATAATTATCTATTGTATTACAGACATTCCGTTATTGACTAATTCCCTTTAAACATCTAACTAGTACATGGAATATGAGTATATGATTATTATTATCGTAACAATTATCCAATGATTTTATTTTAATGAAAAATGTTTGATTTTAAGATCCTGAGCATTAAAATCATAATAAAAGTCTATTTTTACCATCTCTCTGAAGTATTAACTTGAACGCGTAACTACATTAATTTTGCACTGGTTCCTAGCCATTATTCAATGGATCAGCAAAGATTTGGAATCTATCTATAGTAACAGAAAGCATTTATTTAACTATAAAAAAAACATCAAATAAACTGAACAAAACATAGAACACCATGACACATATAAAAGTTTTGCATTTAAAATAAAACATGCACAAAAAGACATCCCACCCCTCCTTAAAAACTCATGTAATTTCAAATCTGAACAAGAGCTGTCGGTAGGACAGCAACGCTCGACTATTCTAAGTGCTTGATAGTAAAAAAAAATGCTTGATACAATTACCTCCTCCTGTTTACAGGTCGGGTTAATGATGGTGAACAAGTGTGCAAAGTTTCAAAGCCATATGTCAATGGACTTTGAAAATATTTGAACTATTACAAAAACTTTAACGTAAATTCTAAGTAGAAAAAGGGGCATAATTCTGTCAAAATACTTGATAGAGTTACCTCCTCCTGTCTACAGGTTGGGGTCATGATGGTGAACAAGTGTGCAAAGTTTCAAAGCCATATGTCAATGGACTTTGAAAATATTTGAACTATTACAAAAACTTTAACGTAAATTCTAAGTCGAAAAAGGGGCATAATTCTGTCAAAATGCTTGATATAGTTACCTCCTCCTGTCTACAGGTTGGGGTCATGATGGTGAACAAGTGTGCCAAGTTTCAAAGCCATATGTCAATGGACTTTGAAAATATTTAAACTATTACAAAAACTTTAACGTAAATTCTAAGTCGAAAAAGGGGCATAATTCTGTCAAAATGCTTGATACAGTTACCTCCTCCTGTTTACAGGTTGGGGTCATGATGGTGAACAAGTGTGCAAAGTTTCAAAGCCATATGTCAATGGACTTTGAAAATATTTGAACTATTACAAAAACTTTAACGTAAATTCTAAGTCGAACAAGAGCTGTCGGTAGGACAGCATGCTCGACTATTCTTAGTGCTTGATAGTAAAAAAAATGCCTGATACAGTTACCTCCTCCTGTTTACAGGTTGGGGTCATGATGGTGAACAAGTGTGCAAAGTTTCAAAGCCATATGTCAATGGACTTTTGAAAATATTTGAACTATTACAAAAACTTTAACGTAAATTCTAAGTCGAAAAAGGGGCATAATTCTGTCAAAATGCTTGATAGAGTTACCTCCTCCTGTTTACAGGTTGGGGTCATGATGTTGAACAAGTGTGCAAAGTTTCAAAGCCATATGTCAATGGACTTTGAAAATATTTGAACTATTACAAAAAACTTTAACGTAAATTCTAAGTCGAAAAAGGGGCATAATTCTGTCAAAATGCTTAATAGAGTTACCTCCTGCTGTCTACAGGTTGGGGTCATGATGTTGAACAAGTGTGCAAAGTTTCAAAGCCATATGTCTATGGACTTTGAAAATATTTGAACTATTACAAAAACTTTAACGGAAATTCTAAGTCGAAAAAGGGGCATAATTCTGTCAAAATGCTTGATAGAGTTACCTCCTCCTGTCTACAGGTTGGGGTCATGATGGTGAACAAGTGTGCAAAGTTTCAAAAGCCATATGTCAATGGACTTTGAAAATATTTGAACTATTACAAAAACTTTAATGGAAATTCTAAGTCGAAAAAGGGGCATAATTCTGTCAAAATGCTTGATAGAGTTACCTCCTCCTGTCTACAGGTTGGGGTCATGATGGTGAACAAGTGTGCAAAGTTTCAAAGCCATATGTCAATGGACTTTGAAAATATTTGAACTATTACAAAAACTTTAACATAAGTGGTTACGCCGACGCCGACGCTCGGGTGACTGCAATAGCTCTACTTATTCTTATCGAATAGTCGAGCTAAAAAGGGGCATAATTCTGTCAAAATGCTTGATACAGTTACCTCCTCCTGTCTACAGGTTGGGGTCATGATGGTGAACAAGTGTGCCAAGTTTCAAAGCCATATGTCAATGGACTTTGAAAATATTTGAACTATTACAAAAACTTTAACGTAAATTCTAAGTCGAAAAAGGGGCATAATTCTGTCAAAATGCTTGATACAGTTACCTCCTCCTGTCTAAAGGTAGGGGTCATGATGGTGAACAAGTGTGCCAAGTTTCAAAGCCATATGTCAATGGACTTTGAAAATATTTGAACTATTACAAAAACTTTAACATAAGTGGTTACGCCGACGCGGACACCAACGCCGACGCCGACGCTCGGGTGACAACAATAGCTCTACTTATTCTTATCGAATAGTCGAGCTAAAAAAAACAACCAAAAAACTGTCAGCTGTTAAACTGACGTCTGCATTGTCTATGTCTATAATTCCTACAGTGCTTATGTATGTGTAAAATTCTGTGCTAACATGTACAAGAGCTCTTCACGGTTGAAGGCAGGAATCCAAGTCTGCCGAGAAACTTTTCACACGAGAGAATATCAACGGCGGATACGCTCGGTCAGACAGCTCAAAATCTGTGTCATTATCCTCACCGGTAGACCTAAAAAGAAGATGATAAATTTGTTTGTTTCTTCGGGATTTTTTAGCCACAATGGCAGAATGATTAAACATACTTTTAAAAATCAATGAGGCGGAAACAGGTTGAAATATTTTGTATATATCTTTATAATACCAGTGTGGACACAAAAGTATGGAAGGAAAGACAGCGTATACATGTATATGACTGTAAATGCACAGGATAAAAAAATATGCTTATTACATAATTATATATGCTTATTTCTCTACCTCGAAAAAATGTTCAGCTTAAACTGTTTGTTTTTTTTCTGTATGTTTTTACACCAATTTAAACACATTATTTTGTTATGTCTATGATGGTTGATCTACCTAATCAGCTGGACTAACCAGTTATTACAAATTTCTCACTACATATGCGTATTTCACTACCTAGAAAAAATGTTTCCCTTAAACTGTTGGTTTTTTTCCTGTAATTTTTACACTAATTTTCACACATTTTGTGGTCATGTCTCAGTTAATTGATTGACCTTACCAGCTTTCCTGGATATTAGTAACCAGTTATTACATGTACTAATTTTTCAACAAATGATGTACAATTAATCCAACATGATTTCTGTATCAGCGGTGAGAGACAAATGACCGTTAGACTCAATGTCCGAGATCAAATGTCAAGGTGAAATAACGCCTTGCTCAAGGTTCAAACCAGTGTCCCTATTACTAATCTGATACTCTCCCTATTGAGCTAAGTTTAGTTGACGGACATTTCACTTAATAAACGCACCAATTTCTACATTTAAAACAGAAGGTCTAACATACTTAAATGGCTACCTTAACAAAAAAGTTTAACACAGTTGAAGGGCTACCTTAACTTGAAAACCTAAGCATTTTTTCAAAAGTCAACTTACTTGTAGAATGTTTTCACGGAGTAGTGTATCCATGACAACTTGCATCCATTTCTCTTACCAACATTCTGGATTTCAAGTTCCTGTAACATCATGAAAATATTAGTAAACAATAACATACGTAACACCATTTCTTGTAAATTGCTTTCTTTAGCTACTATGAGTCAATTTTATATATATACAATGTATTTATGTTCAGGACATGTTTGAACAGAATTTGAGAATTACACTGTTTATTTACTCTAATTCTTTCCTGCCAAAAAAAATTCTAACATCAACCAATCCTGTATCAAATCAGTTTTTTTTTCAAAATCTTGGGCATTAGATTATTTAAAATCACTCATCCTTTATCACAATATACTTATTTTAGAATATGAACGATTAAAAATTTTTGAATACTGAAGATCTTGAATAATTACATTCCGGAAATGACCAATTTATTACAATATTGGCGGATGTAAGATTATGATATTTTTGGCGGGAAGGCATTACAGTTGGACTACCTTAACATATACCATCCTGAAAGTAAATGTTATTCTTTACCACCAGCATCGAGACAGGTTAGCCTTCACATCTGCTTAGTCATGTAACTATTCTTTTTGTAGCTAAATATTTGCATTTTCATCTTGAAATCCCTTAAAACTTGTAATGCATTATTCCAATTTAAAAGCAAGGGAAATCAGTAACTCAAAATTCACAGATTTTGGATTAAATACATTGTTCCTAATTTTGTACCAATATATTCCAACTTGTATACAAAAATCAGTCTATAACAAACACATATTCAGGGTCACATGACCCATGTTTTATCTACCCTGACAAACAGACAAAAATGGTTAGTTGGATAGTTGGTTGGATATTTACGTTGCACCAACACAGTATAGGTGATACGGTGGCTCTTTTCCACCTTCACTGGTGGAGGAAGACCTCAGATGTCCTGTGCATTATTTTCAGGCACGAACGGGCACCCAATTAGAAACAGACAAGCTGAACGACAACTTACAATATGGAAGCTCTGTTGGACATCATTTTGAATGTTCTTGTTACGTTTGTACTTGTAATTCGATGCATTCTCTGTATTCGGTACCCTCTTTAGCACACCAGTCACCTGTACAAATAATAGGAACATTGTACATATATAATATCTACTAGTATTTCTACAGATTTTTCAGTTCACCAAAGGTCAATTTGTAACACGAAATGTAACCGAAAACTTAGACTCATATAATGATTGACAAGCTATTGGTCATAAACATTAAAAAGAATCTTTTTTTTTTTTTGGTTGGGTTTAATGTCATAATATAGGCCATCTTGCAACTTTTCAATTTTACTGGTGGAGGAAGACCACATGTGCCCTTCCATGCATTATTTCAGGCACGAACGGGCACCTAAGTAGAACTAAAGACCTCATCACATGACAGAATCCAAAGTTCCTGATGGGATTTGCGCGCACAGCATTAAGGGGCAAGTGGTTTTACAATGTAAGCCAATGACCATAACTAATTGACCATGGATGCCCCAAAAAAAGAATTAAGATTTTTAAAAAGTCTCAGAATTTATATTTGTTAACATTATTTTTTTTCTTTTTTACATGCATTTCCTATAAAATTTACAATAATGAATAGAAAAATTGGTTTTAACCATAGCTGTGGCAAATCTGCCTCTTAAATGCTTTGTGGTTAAAAAATAAAGAAATGGATAAGGCATATAGTTTGTTTTTTTTTAAATTAACTTATATGTACATGTAACAAAAGAGCTAAGAAGACTTTCTTAATAATAACACTGTATTATAAATTGCATAACAGTTCAAGGTAATACTTACAAATCTTTTAAAAATCATACCTGGCGACATGCTGAGCATATGTACAATAAACCAAAAAATTGCTTCACGAGAAAAATCACAATAAAAAAACCAAGGGAGCTTACTCTGTTCCCTGAGATTTTATATGCACCCTTCAACATGCCAGGTGTCTTTGCATGTGAGTATTTAAACTTGGGAAGTGTCAAACTTGGATGTTCGGGGCTTGTCATCATCAACACTTTACCTGAAACACCATTGGTACGTATTATAACTAATACTTTGTTTAAGAAATAATACAGTCATCTTAAACCCCAGTCACACTAGAGCTTACGATTACTTGCGACCACCTACGACTTGTAAAACTGACAATCATCAGCGATTGTCTGCAACCAAAACCATTTTTGCACAGATAAATTTACTTCTGCGACTATCGTAAGACAAGTCATCATTGACAATCGCACGACAGGTCATAAGCAAACGTATGATGGTCTCAAGATTGTGTTGGATTACTTATGACTACCTGTGACCTGTCATGCGATCACCTACAACTTGTCCTACGACCATCGCACGATAACTCGAGGTTACTCAAGATTATCAGTGACTTAAGTGGCAATTTGTAAAGACTGTCGTAAGATTGTCGCACTTCCGAACGACCATCGTGCGACAGCCTTAGACCTTATAAGATCACTAGTGACATGTTCGATCGCAAGGAGGTTGTTGTGCAAGCTCAAAAACCGCTCTACGACTGAAATCGGTCGTGGGACCTAAATAAGATAACCTGCGACTGTCAAAGATCACCGATGACCGTCGTAAGACGTTTTAAAGATTGTCTGCGACCAGAGGTCACTGGTGATCGTGAACTGGTCTTCACTGGTCGTAAGCTCTAATGTGACTGGGGCTTTAGTTAATTAACTAATGAACTCCTGTTAAATTTAGAAGAACTTGTTTCGTTACTGTACTAAGGTGACGAAATATCCCCAACAGTAATTTAATCACTAAAAAAAATCACTGTTTGGAGTTTGGATGCAAGGAATTATATCACGAGGGTGTAGCCCGAGTGTTATAATGCTGTGCATCCGAACAACAAACAGTGATTTTATCAAGTGATAAATCATTGCTTGGGATATATTATTTGGATTCTAACACAACATCTAACAAATAAATGCTTCCGATTTGTTTCCGTACTTATTTTCAGCATGCTCCATTTTTAATGGTTACATCACATGTCTAATTATAAATCATCAACAGTGATTTTTCTTTTCCATTTAAGTGACATAATGCTCATTTTTCCATGGACAAGTTGAGCTGAATTAACTACACATTTCATAAAATTGACTTTTATGGTGATTGGCCATCAGTTGATATTTGAAAATGTGTAGGAGAAAATATAAATCTGCTAAACATATAAAAAGACTGCCCCCTATTTTTTATAAATGGAATGTTACAGATTATTTCCGATGGATATTTATAGAAATTACCTTGGCCATCCGGGTTATTTATTGTTCATGCAAAATATCTTATAAAATTAAAGGGAATAATCTAAACCCCATAGCCACAAGGGGTTTGCGAGCAAGGTAGCCGAACCTTAGACTATGTCTTCTGCATACGATAATACACATAAAGAAAACAGTATTCACTTAACTTCCTGAAGTTTTTACTTACCTTCAGAAAAGAATCGTATGTATCTGAAATACTCTATGCTATGCCACGGACTGTAAAATCCATCCAGACTTTTCTCTCCTTGTCTGATATAAGACATCTTACTGATGTAACAACCTGAAACAGATAGTTTAAAAACTAAGAAGCCAATTTAAGCCATGTGGTTATAGGAATAATCAGACCCAGAATCACATGGTCACATGGCTAAACACTACTCAGCTAAAAAACAAAGTGCGTTCTAAGTTTAATAAGGCTCTATCCGCCCTTTAAGGAGCAGAGAGTACGCACCTGTCCTTAGATAGTATCAAAATGCCAAATGGTCACCTACTACAGGGTTCGTACAGACATCCAATGCCAAAATTCAAGGACTTTTTAAGCACTATTTAAGCACGTTTTCTCATTTTTCAAGCACATTTGTTGCACATATACCGACACAATCTTCAACCTATGATGGATAGTATGTTCACCATTTTTTGTTAAATACACATTTTCTTACATTATAGAAGAACAACTAAGGGTGCATCAAGCAGAGATCTGCCAAGAATTTGAAAGTACTGGGCCCTGGGCCCACTTGGTCTGAAAATGATAGGCCATTTTTACCAATGTATGGGCCTTGGGAAAATAAGTAAACATTGACCTAAATAACTGTTTAAAAAGTTTGTAGATCTGGTAATAAATTAAACTTAAATCATATTTTAAGACAAGTGGATCACTTATGATTCAGTACTTAACCAATAATTTAAAATTATGCCTACATGGTATAATTTGCTAACTTTTAAATATTAATTGCAGGCAAAATATTTTTTAAATGGCTGCTCAAAAATTTGATATGCATATTTATTCACCTTACTTCTAAATGTCTAATACTGTGCATTATCCATTTAACTGTTTAATTGTTCCTTAACTTTGCACCAAATGTCCCTTACCACTGTATATTGACGAATATTATTACCCCTTGTATGCCTCTGTGTAGACAGCATACATCAAAGACACTTGCCGACAGACCTTTTGATCATGAAAAAAAGTCATGTACAATGTTTCCCTGATTGGTTAATCACCCTGTCAAATATTCTGATGACGAAATAGACAATTTTTTTTACACTTCATCAGGGACTTGAGTGACCTAAGGGGTGATCAAAGTTGTACACCTGTCAGATTATTCTGTAACTTACAGCATTTCTTAAAATAGCAACACTTTTTTTTCAGTTACCGATAATCATTTTAAATATTAAGTAGTTGTATAATTTGTTTGTTTATTTTATTGGTTTAAATTTACGGTAGCAGAAATGAGTATCTGTGTGGGAAAGGGATTATGAGAAGAGATGCGGTAAGTAGATAACATAAACAAAAGCTAAAGGGGAACGGATAAATTCAAGAATATGCACAATTACAGGGGAATGGGTAACACCAGTTTTGGCTGGATGACTAAATAACCCAACAGACAATTTTGTTTTCTTATAAGTCTGGCACAGATTTTAGATGCCCCCATGGCCCTTTGCTGCCGATTTTCCTACGCCGATGGCGCAAAATCGCGTCCTCTGCAGATCTCTGATCAAGTACAGATTAGTTCAAAACAACTGCAATTTGTCCACTTACTGTTACCTTGAGTAAACATTTCATTGATTTTGATACTAAATTTGATCCTTTTTTTATTTTGTTAACCGTTGATTTTTATCAAAACTATGTCATTCTGTGATTCAAACATTTTCAAGCACATTTTTAGCAAATTTAAGCACTTTTTAGCACTTTTCAAGAGAGTAATCAAATTCAAGGACTTTTAAGCACTTTTTTACATTTTTAAGCACTTTTTAAGAAAGAGATTCAAATTTAAGCACTTTTTAAGACTGTACGAACCCTGTACTAATTTTGAATCCACCAATTCAATAAATTTGACTAAATATACAAAATGTATGTTTCTTTCTATTTGATATACAGTATACATGACTAAGTGATGCAAAGGATGCCAATGAGACCAAAAATAACCCCAACTGGAACTGAAACTGATAAGTCCTTGTCATCTTAATAGAGCAAGGCAATCCTGCCCTTCTGTGCAGTCTGACCAATCTATATACACTTTGCAGATAAATTTTGGTATTTTATTATTTAGATTCCTAAAAAATCAAATGGACTGTTCCAAATTCAAAGCAGATTGAATCCATTGATGTCTTTTGAATTTCACGCTTCTTCCAGATTTTTATACTTCACAACACCAGATGTCAAGTGCTGTGGCACAGCTGTAAAAAGTTGCCCTGTGCATCACTTCAGCGTTCTTATATTTCACTGGTCTTTTGGGATCATTGATTCCAGCACTTTTTAGTGCTGAAAACTAAGTACCGCTCATTTTAGCCAGTGCTAGAGGGCATAAGGGATGTTGCACTTTTCTTGTTATCCCTCATGTACAGACTAAATCAAACAGAGTCTGCACTTTTAAAGTTATCATGTTGTGATTAATGCTTTTGACAAATTATCCTTCTTCCAGATTTTTTTTTTCCACAAGCATTTCATGCAAGAAAATGACACAGGTAAAAGAGTCCTGTCTAGGATTTAAACATACAGGCATTGAGAGTAAATCAACATAAGTAGTGGTGGCATGGCCCAGTGGTTAACTCATCAGACTAGTAATATAATGATTGCTAGCCCCCTGGGTTCAAACTCCGTCAGGGGCAAGTCATTGTTTCCTTCATTGTTTCATTGCTCAGTACTGGATGGGTCTAGAAAAGGATTTGAAAGTGTATCTGTAAGCTTATAGTTTCCTACACAATTAAACTAAAATAAATTCTGTATAAACCAACATAAGCATTCATCACTTAAGGCCCCTTACTTATCTTTAAGATAGTTAAAAAAAATATAAAAAATACCTACCAACAAACTGAAGATGTGGCCTTTCTATGTACATGTTTCTCCATAATCCATATTTCTTCACTTTTCCAGTATTGGAACCCCACACCCTAAAATCAGTAAGATTTGTACATCCATATAAGAAATTGCCAATTTATGCATACAAAGATTTTAACAATTCATATTTCTTGTAAAAAAAATTTTAACATTTGTCAGCAAAAGAAGACCTGTACAGAAAAGTACTGAAAAAGACCACCTGCAAGACTATTTGTAAGCATATTGATAGCCCTCTTTAAAAAGACCACTTTCAAGAGTATTTGTCAGCATATTGATAGCCCTCTCTTAAAGGACCACCTGCAACAGTGTGCTGTAATCTATTTTCATGAAATCCATAGGTGAAACAACATCATCTGAAAATGGTCTTTCACAGACAGGTGAATTCTTTACACATATGATGTTGATGATCCTTCTTATTTTCACTTCTAAGTTTGCTAAAAAATCATTAACCTATATGTAACAATCAAATTCATGAACATTTGTGATTAGTGATATTTCTAACAGTCTTAGTCAAGAATCTATTACTGAAATAGTGGAAGAGGCAGAACAGCCATGGACATCTGCAATTTTTAGTTCCAAATATCTCCAAGGTAACATAATTGGAGATAAAAAATGGCAGAAATACTGTGACCAAAGTTGTCATTCTCATTCACTTAAGATTGAATTTAGACCAACCTGAGACAAGCAAGCCTCCAGAGTTCCTCATCCCTCGCACATAAGTAAAATCCTCGACATACCTGTAATAACCAAATATTTTACATTCCACACAAATGGAAATATGCCCAATTGATAATAATGCTAAGAAATATTGCAAACTTAGTCACGGAGAATCTTCAATGTTTTGCTCATTGCTTTTTGCATTCTTTGCTCTGAAGTGATTAGTACACTATTGCAGAATTTTTACCCAAGTTGTATCAATGTCCATGCATTATTAATCTTAGAATTTTCTTTCTTTAGATCTGAAAAATTTCTATATACAGTCTAAGGAAATAAATTATAGAACAGTAGTCTTTCATTCACAAATGTTCTCTAAAGTTGGGTCAAAGAGGAAGAAAAAAATAACACAAGAGAAGATGATGTCAACTTTGACTGTATCTTGTTTCAAGGTCAAGGTCACATTGTCAGGGCCACAGAGTCAAGGTCATTCACATGTTTCCAAAAATAACAATTTTCTTATTTTTCATGTGTGACCATAAGATGTGACCTTTGCCATTATAAAGCTTGACTGAATCAAATGTCAAGGTCACAGTGTCAAGGTCATTGCCAGCACTTACCTCAGCAATACTCTCCAGTGACTTCATGTCAAGCTGGGAGGACACGACCCATTTAAATATGTAGATCAGAACCTCAACTGGTAGAGCAGATATGTGACATGCCTGAAATATGACACATAAACTAGTAGAGTAGATATATGACATGCCTGAAATAAGACACATAAACTGGGTATATGACATGCTTGAAATAAGACACATAAACTGGGTATATGACATGCCTGAAATAAGACACATAAACTTGTTATATGACATGCCTGAAATATTGCAAGTAACTGGAGAGCAGTTGTGTGGCATGCCAAAAAAAACATCACATACATGGTGGGGCAGATATGTGACATGCCTGAAATATGACACATGAACTGGTAGAGAACATATTTGGCATGCCTGAAATATGACACATTAACTGGTAGAGCAGATATGTGACATGCCTGAAATATGACACATAAACTGGTAGAGCTGATATGTGAAATGTCTGAAATATGACACATAAACTGGTAGAGTAGATATATGACATGCCTGAAATATGACACATAAACTGGTAGAGCTGATATGTGAAATGTCTGAAATATGACACATAAACTGGTAGAGTAGATATATGACATGCCTGAAATATGACACATAAACTGGTAGAGTAGATATATGAAATGTCTGAAATATGACACATTTCCATGTAGAGCAGATATGTAACATGTCTGAAATATAACACATGAACTGGTATAGTAGATATATGACATGCCTGAAATATGACACATAAACTGGTAGAGTAGATATATGACATGTCTGAAATATGACACATAAACTGGCATAACAGATATGTGACATGTCTGAAATATGACACATTAACTGGTGGAGCAAATATGTGACATGCCTGAAATATGACACATAAACTGGCGGAGCAAATATGTGATGTGCCTGAATAAGATATATCAACTAGAAGTGAGATATGTGGCATGTCTGAAATATGACACATAAACTGGTAGATCAGTACATTTATTACACAATGAACAATGCTGTATTTTTAATTGTTGTAAGCAAATTGTATTACATAAAACCAGAATAGTGTAAGAAATTTCAAACCTACCCTCTGTTGATATGCTGGAGAACAGATTCGTTTTTCCTCCACTTTCAGATTATGGAATCTACTCAGCAGATCTGATTCCAATTCCTCACCATCATAGCTGTAATACATGTATATTTATTATTGTCACTAGTCAAAACAAACAAATCTAGACCTATTACATGGACAGATCTTTCATATAAAAATTCAGTAAAAATTATCCCTAAGTTGATAACATAAAACCTGCAAACTTGTAGAGAGACACTTTATGACCTATCAACTGCTATAAGTCTCATTATGCAAATGTGACAACTTTATATAAGTAAGTAAGTAAAGTCTTTATTGAGGCTACACATTTGGTTACCCAATATTCCATGTCGGCCTCGAAAACATAATTTACAAAGCTTACATCATTTACATCAAGGTTATACATTTCAATTTTCAAAATGCATAGTTTTTGCATGAAAATGCAAAGCTTGGAATTTTCCAACAGTTTCAGATTTACGAATGGAAAAAGGTATATTATTCCATGGTTTGGGGCTCGAATAAGTCAGAGATATTTTTTAAGTTGTGGTACAAATATATCTAAATTTTTTATTGACCTAAGATACACCCATAAGCAAAATTTACCTGTCTACGGAACTTTCACTTTCAAATCGTTCTCTTGGACTTCTGGGATATTCTATCCTCATTTCAATGTCAGGTACAAGCTGCATGGCTCGACGATAGAAATTTACAGCTGATGAAATATAAAAATAATATTTCATATGAATGTTAGTGTGACACTTGGCAGGTTAATAAAGTTTCGTTTGTCAGGGTTTTAAGTTACAAAGGCACTGCTAAGGTCATATGGCAATTTTTCAACTCTGCTTGCACCTCCGATGCTTTTCAATTCATTGTTTTACGCACAAGAAGTCAAAATGAACAGAATTTAACATGGGAGTAAAATCATAAGAATAAATTATTCAATGATCCTGTTTAATAGAATAATTTTATGTATGTGTTTTTCCTGTATGTTACAAAGAAGCCTACATATGAATAGAAATACTGGAAGACTGCGGGACACATGGTAGATACGTAACAATATCCTTAAAATCCTTGAACTGTTAGTTGCTATGCAACTTGCGTATCTGATAGTCTGTAGGATAAATGCAAAATCATCATTATATGTGGAGCACTAATTTTCGTGGTTTTCGTGTACAGGTCAATCTACTAATTTAAGATTCAACAAACTTTCTATTTTATCTGTTGTGCAAGTATTCTTACCACATTTTTTGCATTTTACTTTTATTCAAAAACAGAAAATCCAGGACTTTAGGAACCCGCAAAAATGTCCTTTTTGACAAAACCACAAAATTTCATGCCCACTTAATTAAGTGAATTTCCCTACAAAAGCAACTTCTTAACATGATCATTGAAGTCAAAGACATTTGGACATTTGGAAATAATTACCTTCATAAAGTGACCCCTCTTGTTCCAGTTTAGATCCCATCAAGAACAATGCAGCAGCCTATAACAAAGGGAGACAATTGATATCTTTCATGTGAATACCTACAAGGGGTGGCGAACAAATATTGTTTCCTTCCATATCAGTCAGTACATAAGCAGGGTTGTCATTAACATTTTTTGCAGAAGGTTTGTTTTGAACTTTAGGCGGTCATTTCTGTCTTTATCATGCATAACAAAGAGTGTTTTCTTAGTTTTGAGGCGGCCCATAATGCATTTGAGACAGGCATTTTGGCCTCCTGCCGCCTCTTAATGACAACCCTGCATAAGATGGAACACATCAATTTAAGTGGATACCAAAAGATAACAATATTTGCAATCTTGCTTATTTGGGGCTACTAACCTCACAATACTCGCTCTCTTTTTTACATTAAATTATATTTATTTCTAAAACTACAACAAAACTTCCAAACCGAGCATCAGTATTTTAAAATTGTTGTTTTCAGGGTCATCACACTAGATTCTATCCGAATTGAGAAAATAACGGGTCTTTTGTTTAATCTACCACAGTATATGTTTGTAATAGTAAATTTACAACTATAAAGCTAGGTTTCATATTAGTATTTAAACAAAGAATCATAGCATGTGCAAATAAATTTTTTTCTCTTCTTTCAGAATCTACCCTTAGCTTAGTGTATTTTGTAAGAGGACTGACAGTTGTGTGTAGGTAGCAAAAGCCTGCTAACATCACTGTAAAAAAAAGAAATTTGAAAATGGAAGTTTTTAAAGGGTCAGCTTACCTCTTTCTCCACCTCATCCTTTTCAGATAATCCTTGATTACTCATGTTTGCCTGACTTCCCTTTAATTCTGCCTGCCATTGCTGCCTAAATTGTTCCAATTGACCTTGAGAGTAAAATAATACACTCATTATAAACTAAATTAATAATAAATTATTTATAATAGTTACAAATGTCAAGTAAAATTCCAATTTCTTATGACATGTATTTCACAGGAATTTGAAGTAAGGATGTGATGTATCACATAATTTTCTTCAGATTCCATACAAATCCAAACAACACATTCGCATAACTTATAAATAATGATGATTATTCATTTCAGCAATGAATTGATAACAGAATTTTGAACTTTAACATAAACATAAACAGAATTTTATTTTAATTCATGTAGTTCATGTAGTATTTCAGGTCAGAACATCATTAATGATGCTAAGCTGAACTTCTTGGTCGTTTTGGAGATTGTATTCCCTTTTCATTATTTCTCTTCCAACTCCTTTGTTATGGTTATTATTCTTAAACAAATATTTGACATTATAAAGTAATCTGTTTACTTTCTCCATCCGAACAATGCTTTTCTGGAGCACTTTATAATTTTTTGTATCTTCTTTTTTCATAAAATGAGAAAAAAATGCAGCCAAGCCAGAATTCCTTAAATAACTAATCCCTTCTTATGTTATAGTCTGACATTATATTAAGAAAATTGTTTACTTTCTACATCCAAAGGTTCATCATTTTCATCAAATGCCAGTATTTCTTCTTCTCTAAACTCCCCCTCATCTCCTTGCAACAAGCTTGGCACTTCCTTTTCCAAATCCTTTAAAAGAAAATAATAACTTGTTGGAATAGAGATACTGTTCAACTTAAAAAATGTGTTAATTTCTTAATACTGAGTACTGTAAAAAAAATGTACACAATTTATTATGTACTTGTTTGCAAAATTATGCAAGAAATCAGAAAATTATTTAAACTATATTTATGACAGCAAAATTTCTTTTTTTACTCTAACAATGGTTGCAGGTTATTGCAGAATTCTTGGTCATAAAAAAAGCAAAAAAAACAAACTCCTAAAACCTGTTATGTCTATAAAAAAACTGTAAGTCTATAATTGCAAAAAATTCTTTTATAAATTGTCTGCGAAACATATATGCTTATATAAATGTATGTCTAGTATAAAGTATTTAAATATATGTATGTATACCCTTTATGCCTAATGAGGGTCCATCTACCCATTAAAGCATTATAAGTAGCTTTCGCTACCAATTAAGGCGCCAGACATAATTAAAGTTTAATTTTTAAGTACAACATGGTAATAATCTATCACTGAGTATTAGCTAAAGATATGAATTGCACTTTAGGCAATGAATAACTAAACATACATGTACAATAACCTGTGACAATAGCAAAAGAGGTAGCTCTTATAAGAGCCAAGAAAAGGGCCTGTGTTGCAAGTTGTCACTGTGTACGCACTCTTAATTGTACCCTTCCTTGTTGTCCCTGCCTACTTTGTAAGGTAAATCCCCTTTCCGCCACTTTAGACATTGGCATCTTATTCCAATTGACCTGAGTTGTGCTGCTTTAAATGTAACCATGACCTGAGCTGAAGGAATTGAATGTGAACTTGCTGTCTTACACATGCCAGTATACAGTCAGTGGATCTTAAATCATCAAACCTAGTCCAACTAATTTTACTGCGCAACGAGATATTGTGCTATTTTCGTGTCTGGGCAATATCTCGCCTCATATATCTCTTTAAAGCGAGATTCTGCCCCAGAACAAAAATATCTCAGAATCAAGCTTTGGCACGTCAATATATTTTGACTACAAACCATGCCTTGTCCCTCTCAATGACATGCGCAAAACAGTGGGGCTTAGTGAGTTAAATGTTATATGTATTTTGATATTGTGTCTTGGCAAGGTCTTTCTATTTGAGAGACCCTGGTCTTGTGCCTGTGTTCAGCTAGGTTGCGTACTGATAATGATTAAACTCATAAAGAATAATTGCAACATACATGTTGTGCAATTTCGATTTTTAATTCTTATTTTCAACAGTTAACCTTTCCCTTAATAATGAGTACCAGGTTGTGACGGGCACGTTACGATACCGAAATCAACTTGATTTCGGTAAAGTTACCGAAATCAACTTTTCATTACCGAAATCAACTCGTAAAAACCAACCTAGTTAAAATATTGCTATTATTTCTTCATTATTTGATGAAAATTAGTGAAATAAACTTTCAGTTAAAAAATCTATTGAAAATATTTTATTTTAATGATGTTATTAACAAAAATGTAATTATTGAGTTACTTCCCTTTGTTCTAAACAATCCGTATATGTGTTTAGCATTACCGAAATCAGCTGTTAAGTTTAAATTTTGTAAATAAATACATGTATAATACATATATAGTGATTATTTAAGATAATTTATGTTTTTGAAAATTTAAAAAAACCCGACTACATTGATGAGAGCGTTCAGTTGCAACTGAATAGATATCATGTGTAATATCTGTTCAGTGCATCCAGGCCACACCACGGGGAGGCGCTCTCTTCATGACCCATCTTTTTTTTCTTTTCTTTTTCTTTTTTTTCTTTTATTTTTTTTAAGTAACATTGTAATAAATAACTAAATAAATAAATAACTAAATAAATAAATACTAAACGTGCGCTGTCACTGATGCTTATACACGTGCTATAATTTCAATATACAGGCACGAACATGGGTAAATAAAATGTTAACTTATGTTTAATTATTGTACATTATTTTAGTATAAAAGAACAATGATTATTAATAGAATATGGAACATGAATATGAAAAAATGATATATATTCATTTAACACGGTACAATATTAATGAACAAAGTAAGATTTTTTTTTTCTCCAACATATGAAATGAACTTTCGAACAGGGTTTGATTCACTTTAAGTCATTATGCAATAAAATATATTGCAAGTTTAGAGATATTTGGTACACTAATTATGTATGTTCAGCAACCATTTATTACAAGACATTAGCACAAGCATGTGATATATATGCACGTGATTATCGTGCATAACAATTTTCTAATCAAATCGTATTTTTAAAAAGCTATGATGGAAAAATATAATACTCTGTAATATGAGTTAAATCTAAGTATAAATTTTGTACATGTTTATGTTTTATGAGTTTGAATACAGATATATAATTCGACTGCTCTAAAAATTTTCCATAAACATTGTATAATGTATCAGGCAGTAAAATTGGAAATCGGAAAGTTTGTCTCTTTCTTTTATTGAACAGTTAAAATATATATTAACAAATCGCTAACATATGTTATGGGGACTCTTTATTATAATATTTTTATATTTTAGTAATTTTTTAAATGTTTATTACGAAATAAACCGATGGTCCATTATAATCTTTTATCTGTAACATACATTGTATGTCAACTGTACCTCCTGTCTTAATTACTTCACACCTTACTTAATACAGTAATACACAACATGTCATATCGTACAAGTTACAACATTACATAATTGAAATTTGTCAGTTTAAAGTGTTCCATTTTTTCCATCATATAAATATATATCAGTCATTCCATAAATTGATGCTGTTTACAGATATGAATTTAAAATGATCAACATAAAATCATGACTTAACAACTTTTTCAATAAGTAGAATATGTAGTTATTAATATATTATAAAGTATCCGGGACATCAAAAAAATGCATACATTTTTGGAACAACTGATATGCAATTTGGAAATAATAATATCAAGGCACCTTGTCTCATATACCGAAATGTTTTCTACGGAAACATATAGCGACCACCCCTACATGTTAGTTTAAACAGATCTTTTGACAATTTATTTAATATAACATTATATTTTTACCAGCTTAATAGATCTGAAATATTTATAGTATAAAACTATAAAAAGAAGTCTTTCTAAAGTTTCCATGCACCGATGTATATTAAAGAATTGCGGTTAACGAGTATGTAATGTCAACTAGAGCACCTCTATTGTCCGAGCACGTGTATGTTTGCTCTTTATAGAAAAGGTGTTATGATTACATGATAAATGGCAACCGCTACGTCTTTATAATTTAATCAAATCATAATTATTGGATTTAAATTAAATACTGTGATAATTTTCAATCAACTATTTTAACAGTGATCTAAATTAGGCGGATAAACATTGAAAATAAGCGATATGAATTCAAAGTTTAAAACTCACTCAAATACCTTTTTTAATAGACTTCTGAAATTCATGCAAATTATTTAGGGATTATTCTCATCTTTGAAATGAAATTTGATTTGATTTCGGTAATAAAACACATTAATAACAAGGGAAGTAATCATGATATGATATACATAATTATCCGTCTATAACATCATCATCTTTTATAATTAAATATTATTTTCCTTTGTTTATGGTTCAGTTTGAATGATTTTATATTAATTACTAAAACAAGATCTATTAAAATGTTTATTTTAACTTTTACAAGCCGATTTCGGTATGGTAACATATATTTCGGTTCGTGACAAATCAGGGAATTCAAGTAATCTTGATATTTAGATATTTGTTTCTAATTTCATAATTATTAATTATTTCGAACTGATTTTTTGCATGAAAGTCAAACTTAACCTATTGTAATATATTATAATGGAAAAAATATAATAAAACTCTTAATTGTGATTTTACAAGCCGATTTCGGTATTGTAACATATATTTCGGTTTGTGGCAAATCAGGGAAGTAATCTTGATATTAAGTTATTTGTTTCTAATTTCATAATTATTTATTATTTCGAACTGATTTTTTGCATGAAAGTCAAACTTAACCTATTGTAATATATTATAATGGAAAAAATATAATAAAACGCTTAATTGTGATTTTACAAGTTGATTTCGGTAATGAAAAGTTGATTTCGGTAACTTTACCGAAATCAAGTTGATTTCGGTATCGTAACGTACCGGGTTGTGACAGTTGCTGAAAACGAAAGATTATTTACCATTTTACAGACTTCAGGCAGTCTTTGAATTTTCAAATAGTTAGTTCACGGAAGGTATACAAAATAACAGAGGAATACAAAAGTGCTCTCCTGACAGCTGCCATTTTGTGATGATTTTGATATTGGTACCCAGCTTTACAGGCATTGTCTATTATGTAGAATGATGTAGACCGGGTCCATTCTATTTTGACTGGTTACCTTGCTGAACTACCTCATTTGAACAGATTTTGATAAAAGGATTTAAACCAGTCGACATATCATAGACATGGAAGGTAAACAAAATGAATTTGTATAATTCTTTAAAAAATCTGTAGTAAAATAACTTTTCTTTTTTAAATAAACTTAATAGAGATATTATGTTTAGAAGTCTTATTTTATGTAAAGGAAAATGCAATATAGAAGTGTATTCAACGATTCCAAATCGCTTGAAAACATGGTCGCGTTTGTTGACAAGTTGTTTACACTTGTCAGCCGGTAGCTAAGGTTGTAAGAAATATTATGAATAAATATTATAATGCAACGAGAATAATGCATGTTTCCGAAGAAAATGGGAATGTATGTTATTTAGATTTTGTCTATGTCGACTGTCACAATTGGTACTAATCACCAAGCCTAATTTTTATTATAGATCAACAAAGTTTACTGAAACATCTTTCACATAAGCACTTGGTTTCGGGATAAAATAACCCTTTGAGAGGTTTGTAGAACTCAAATATAATTGAATGTTACAATATAGGAAAAATGACGGTTTTAGAAAAGAGACATCTACGTTAAAAAAATTGTAACATTCAATTATATTTGAGTTCTACAAACCTCTCAAAGGGTTATTTTATCCCGAAACCAAGTGCCTATGATCATTCATGTCTGACATCTAATTATTCTAAAATCTATTTATCCTATATCTACAATTTAAAAA